AAGAAGCCCTTAGAGGGGATCAACTATATTACAGCAAAGACATGTGAAACAGAAACCAATCCAAAGAAGTGAGGAAATGCAGAGCAAAAATCTGCTGGATTGGGTCGCTGTGAGGAAGGCGAGTGCATAACTCCTCAATTGAATATGTGTGGATATACTTTCAGCATTTCATCAAAAAGAAATAAAACAAGGTCCTAAAATCATCATGGAGATAATTTAGCAGATAAAAAAGAGAAAATATTACCTTTATAAAACCACAATGATAAAGACTGTTAAATATTGACTGATTATAATTAGATACATTTATTTTATCCTTCCTTTTCAGAGGCCCACCACCATCAATCTAAAGCTGCTATACTACAGACCATGCAGGACTAAACCATAGCTGTGGGTTCCATCCAGCACTAACCAGCTGAGTTAGCGTCGATAGGTCTCCTTCTCTTGCTGCTTCCAGAAGTTTCTCCTCCAGCTTCCGCTCTTCTGTTCTTTCAGCAGCTGTCATCCACAGAACGACGGGGAAAAAAAATGAAGGGAGACATAAGCAGCATAAATACTTTGTATGAATGATGATAAACAAGCCAGCGTGAAAAATTGATAGAAAATAAATCTCCATGGTAACGCTAATACGGCAAGATGCAGGTCTCACCTTCCAGCATGCTTCTGATCTCTGCATTCTGAGTGACATCTTTGGGAATTTGAGCGCTCCCATTGATGACAGTAGCGCATGCATCATAGTGCAGCAGCAGCATGACAACCTCCTGATCAATGTGTCGGATTCATTGATTGGTTGGCAGAAACGGATGAGTATATGCATGCAGAAAAAGAAATCTTTCAATCAACAAAGTGAAGCAGGAGTATTGAATCAAAGATCTCAGGTATCTTTTTATACTCAGCCCACCTTCCTCCCTGTGAATGCAGCTTTGTGCAGCGCAGTGTCTCCAATGTTATTGGGCAGGTTAACATTTGCTCCCGCCTGCAGGATGAGAGTTAAAATGGCTTTTATCCATTTCAGCCTTTCAATATTTCACTTCAAAGTAAGAAGATTTGCTACCAGTGGCGGCTGGCCCATAGGGGGCGCTGGGGCGCTGCCCTCCCTAGATGCAGAGGGGAAAAGTCATAATATCTATAGATTTTAAAAGTATTATTAATGTCAGTTTTACTTAATAATATGTGGCTACATGTAATCTGATTTATTAATACAACACGAGTTGACTCCCATTCAACAGAACATTTCCTCCGACAGAACGCATCATTTCTCTTCATTCAAAGCGCCCCTGTTGCTAGGGAAAAGTAATAAATATTTGGCCAATCAGCATCTTCAAAATTAATTGCTAGATAGTTTTGGCCCCTGCTACAGTGACGTAGGTGATGTAGCTAGTGGTCAGTCAGGCAGGCAGTGAGGTAGAGATTAGGGCTGAACTCTAAGAGCAGCTTTCGCACCATTCGGTGAGATCTTTACTGAGTTAGCCTTTCACTAGAAGGACGATGGTGAAAAGATCCATGTAAAGAAGCGAGGACCTGCGGAGCCCTAAATAAATTTAATTAATTTTTTAAGGAGTCGGTTCCAGCGTCAGTCATGGCTGACGGCCTTGTGGGACAGCTGATGCACTTTTTGATGTTCCCTGCATTCTTTTCAGAGTGAGCGATTTGATGAGGACACAGTCTGGACAGACAGACTTCAAACACGTCTCCAACAGCTAGGAATGATTTAAAGCACTTTTCAGAAAAGGCAAAGAAGAACGAACAACCTGGGATTCACATGGAAAATAATATAGTCCACCTGCCCCCCCCCATCCTCCCCACCTTCTCCAGAAGCTCCATAGAGAGCGTTCTGAGCAGCTGTCTCACTGGGCGTTTCTCAATATGCGTTCTTGAGCGTTCTCGTGTGCTCGTGACACGTCATCAGCCTCAGCCCAAATACCGTTCCAATTCTCGAGAACGCATCAAATCCCCGGATGTTGTTCTAGCCCCGCCCTCTTTATCGAGCATGCAGCAGAGCAGACTTGTGCGTTCTTCAGACTGACCGCTTCCCCAGAATGCCCCGCGGCCGCAGCTTGATTCCAGACAGCGCTCACAGTGGTAAGTTAAACATTCCCTTTTCTGCTGCTGTTGTTCTTCAATCGTTTGAGGCGATAACATTATACATTGAAGCCTCCCTGTGTGGTCTGTTTACAGAGTTA